TTTTGCCAATTTTATCGATTCATTACAACTCATCTCGAAGAAGATAAGTGTCGATGAGTTCTCGATAGTCTATTTAATTAGATGTAAAGAAGGGAAATTTTTCAGAAGAAACATGCAGGCACTCAGCCTGGACAAGTCCTTTACGAGATTTCTCTTGTGTTCGTTTCGTTTAGTCCCTTAATATGCAGAATCGTGCTTGTACTACATGATCCACTGCTGTCCTTCACCACCTACATATGTTTCGTTTGTTCTTGGGCTTTTCATTTTTTACGTAGATTTTTTTACGTAGACTTGCTTCATTTATTCAGATTAATCAGGTGTTCTTCCTCTATTTCATGGGATTGCCGTTTTCTCTTGTTACTGAGATTACGTTTACAAGGTTGGGTGCAGCTCCAGCCTTATTGTTTTGATTTTGGCTCGATGGTTTTGACACGCATCATCTTTATGAAGCGAAACGAAAAGATATTCCTTTAGAGAAAATTTCTAAACCGGAAGGTTCAACGTCCAAAGTAATCTGTCCATATCGGTATAGACTGAAGCTGTTTCGCAGGTTAGTCCAAGCCCCCAGCACATCGGTTATACCGCATTATCCGCTCAACCTAGCCCTATACTTCTGCACTGTCGCACACCGGTTTAAGCATGTACCGCTGCTTAGTTCATAGTGCGATAACATCAGAATGATGACCTGGATTGTTTCATACTGATATGGGTTGCCGTTTTGGACAGTAGCATATAGATGGTAGAGAGGCAGTGGTTGTAAACGAAACCAAGCGACCCATGGTTAGTCATTATCTTACTGCCAACGTTCCGATGAAGCAAAATTCATTGACAATATTCAGGACAGACTGCTGCATGGAGAAGTTGAGGGTGTTAACTATTTCCTTGTTTGTCCTGGGCATCACCATTTGTGTTTGGCCGAAACGTGGGCACTGTAAACTTTAACATCGGTCTCCTGGTTGTGTCTTTAACTATTGAATCGGTACCATTTGTACTGAAAAACATCTGGATTCTATGCGTAATTCCAAAATAAAATGTATCCAGATGATCTTTTCACAAAATTGGTTTACGGAATGAAGTAATTGTCTGCAGGTGAACGGACAGGGGAACTGCGCAGTTAATTCTCGTAGTGTTTTTGTGCATTGTAACTTTCTGGAAAGAGAAAACGCACTTTTCCGGCGGCACAGTCTATTGGCCATTCAACTGCTCTTCTCTTTTGAAGTTACTTTTGTCGCTGTTTTAGAATGCTGTGCGAGTTGGAATTTCTATTCACATTTCGTCTTCTGTGCAGGAATGGTGAAACAGTCTCACCATTCGTTCAGTAGTCTCGATTTTCAATCTGTTGCTTCAGTGAAGACTTTCTACCGCTCTTATTTTTGGCAATTATCAGTAACTCGCTAGCTGCAGTAATTCGCAGTTAAGCACAGAAAACAGTTCATCACAACCTACAAGACAAGACTGCACTACTGTGTTAGAGCTTCATTTCAAGCTTCGTATTGAAGTGACGGTTACATTTACCATGATTTCTTGAACCACAGCATCACCATGATTAGTGCTTATCGTTAGCGACAATCGCGTCAGGGATTCCAATATATGTTCTAGCGAACCAAGATATTCATTCATTAGTACTTACCGCTTAACTCAGCATATTTTCGTCAACTTAATAATCACCTCTGGTCGTTTAAGAATCTTACGAACGTTAATGAGCTTTTTAAATACGTTTCGAAATACACAGTTTGCTGATAGGTATCCAATCGCTTCTTTGAATGTGCATTTGCGAAAAGCGTGAACATTAACTATGATGATTGTGGAGCAGATTTTCTATTCGTTAATTTTTCAGGACTGGGAATTTCCGGATGGTAGTCCTCCTCCTCCAGAAATACGTGATAAATGGATTCAGCTAGTTAAGAACCGCGTAGTCAGTGATCCGGGATCTTGCATAGCCGTTCACTGCGTTGCCGGTTTGGGCAGGTAAGCGAACGATGATCATGTTATATCCGTCTTTTGACACGTGTGTTAGGGCACCTGTCCTCGTCGCATTAGCTTTAATGGAAGCGGGGATGAAGTACGAAGATGCAGTGGAACTGATTCGACAGTAAAAAGTGAATTTGTCTCTAGAAATGAGTAATGGTGTGTTTTAGACACCGGCGCGGTGCTATTAACCAAAAACAGCTGACTTACTTGCAGAAGTATAAAGCGTCAGGTGAACTGAAGAAATTGAAATGTGGAAAGCGTGATAAAGACTTCTGTTTGATGATGTAGTGCCATGTTTAAGTTGTGTGTGCAACGCTTTGTCTTCTTGCCTCGGTCTGTTTTTTTTAAATAGTCGATCAGTCAATTTTTCGAATGTAGTATGACAACTCGGATAGACGGTGGCGAGTTAATAACCGGTCTCGAATAAGCGGCGTTTCTTATCTATCTGTTTGCGGAATGCGCTGGCATTGTACATGCTTATTTATCATGGTCTCGAATTCATTTTGATTTTCTGTTGGACGAAATTAAAAACTTTTCTCACTGAAAGTACGGTTGTGTAATTGTTTTTTGTATCACGTTCTGTTTAAATTGGTAACTGGAGATCAGTTTCCCTTACACATGTGATTGGGAGCCATGTGTGGCACTTCATGTGTTGTTTCATGAAGCTTTAGTGCATCGCTGTCCTTTCTTTCTATCATTAATCATGACCAGTTTTTCTTTTTAAAGCAATATTTGCAGTTGAATGACTATTATTGGATCTAGTTTAGTGTATCGTTCGGTGAAGTTGTATTCATTTATTTAACTCAGAAGAACGAAAGATTTGTTCTGACTGGGGCTTGAAAATATGAATTTTCAGTTATGAACTTGACTGTCAATCGTTCTCCGTTTATTTGCGAATAAGGGATAAAAGATACACATCTGGTAACCGTTTAAACAGCACGTCACTTGACAGCATTTAAATTATGCCACAAGTTTCGGTAGAGACCGATTATGTATGTCGAATTGCACGTACCGTCTGGCTCCCAAACCGAGATCTGTTCGAGGAATAATAGGCAAATAAAATTTTTTACATTCCGCAAAATCCAAGTCTAATGCTGGTATCGGAAAGATCGTAAGGTAGTCGATAATTCCGCAGTATTGGAAGCCATGGATTTTTTCTGAGAAAAGTGCGACTTTGAAAAGTCATTATTGGAAATTTACAAGTTAAAAGAAATGTCAGGCAGTCGGTTCTCTAAAGCGAGACACTGTGTAACTACGTTCTTCCCCAATAATCATCCTGCTAACCGTGATCTACAGCACTGAGTGCTCGTCTTGTGCAAAATCTGAAAAACAAACTGATTGTTACTCAAAGAGCAATGGCAAAAGACTGGAAAGTCTCACTCTGGTATCACTTTTCGTACTCAAATCCAACAACGGACTGGATACGTAATATATGCAATATACGTGATTTCTGCTTCCTACGATTCCGGAGAAAGGCCGTTCATGTGACGCCTTAGTGGCTAGTTGACGTCAAGAATTTCAGGTTGGGTTCTGCTTGGTCACAAATGTTCCCTTGGTAGTGCATAAGCACTGGAAGCATCCGATGATCCAATTATTTGGCCGGTGGGAGCGAAAATTTGAATCGGTGTGCTCGTATTTTTTGTGGTGCATCCATAGTGGAACAAGCTACTTATCTGTTGAACTGCATGTCCTCTTGTTGCCTGAGTGGGCATCTAAGCAGACGGTCGTTTAGGAATGCTGCATTGATCCAATGATCAAATTGCATGGTTAGTGGTAGAGATAGAAAGCGCGAAATACAGAATGTTCCAGGATTGTCAACTTGCATTCATGGCACACCCATAACGGGACAAAGGCGAATAACATGTGGTAAAGATGTTCATTTGTTGTGACGTTCACTGCCATTTATTTTTCCGCGAAGGCACGAATTTAACGAAATAATATCTATCATAATCTTCATCATTTTCATCTTCTATCACCGCATCACCTTTCGGTTGACATAGCAACACGCGTCACATTTTGCTTCCAAGCTTCACGATCCTGTGCCAGAGTCTGAGCTTCATCACAAGACAACCGGACTATTCAGTACACTTGCCCCAGGTTAATCTTGGC